CATTTCTTATGCATATACTTCTCCTTTTGAGATAAGTGCATCTTGGTTCGTTTGAATTTTGCATATTTAAGTCAAAATTTATTTCTTACTCTTATTTATTTTGCATATTTATTCTGTCTGTTTTTTAGTAAATATATAAAAGCATATTTGAGAGGTATTTTGCTTCAAATTATAGTTCCTTTTCGGCGTAGAATTATTAACAATAAAGAGATTCACTTATCATCCATATTGGTCCCTACTCAAGCCTTAATTTTGGATACCATCTATTTAGATTAACTTGGTCACATCAGCCGAATTTACTCTTAGCTTTAAAGATTTAACCTTTTTATTCGTGCATTAGCTGGTGATTTGTGTTTTCGTTTCTCTTTATTTGACTCCACACTTTCTTTTAATCCCTAGTATGTGTTATCGCACATATGTATTCCCAAGTAAGATCCTTTCGGAAGAAGACGCTCTAAGTTCGACTTACTCATACTTTGCATGGCTACTCTTGCAACCTAATTGCCAATGCTCTGTGTTCATAACCCAGGCCCTATCTTAATTCTTTGCAGTCTTGGCTTACACTTCTTTAGTGTATCGCATTTTGACGCACAATACTCGGTTTCGAATTAGTTTAGTGAAGTGGCTTAGATCATTTATTGTCGAAACCAGTATATTCTGAATGTAGAAGTCTTTTATAAACAAATGGACTCAGATGTATATATGTAATACTCTAATTCCTTTCATTAAACTCTAGACCAGTGAAATGCCTCTCACTTATAGCATAAATTAATTTTATTGTTTGCTTGCTAGTTGATTTGGCGATAAGCCTTATTATCTCATGATCTTTCCTCAGCTCTTTAAAAAATTTACTCTTATTCTTAGGCCGAGTTGCTGTGGAGATGTTCGATCCTTCTCCTGAGGTACAGAAGAAGAAATATGCCTTTAAGTGTCATAGGCTAAAAGAGGGTGATCGAGAATTGATCCATCCAGTTACTGCTATTGCCTTTCATCAGGGCTACAATACCTTCGCAACAGGTAACCTTCTTACATTGACGTATTATTACTTCGCCTTTTGTCGATACCTTATTTTTTGCATTCCTTCCTGGGTATCTTATTCTAATATTGTGCATATCGGCCTAAATTGATTTGTCCGGTGTTTTAATTTCGCTAGGGCAGTTTATGTCCTAGAGATGTTGGAAGCTACCAGAGATGATAATTCACAGAGTTGCCTTGACTTGAAAGGCCTGCTTATAGTCTAGCTTAATCGAAATTGAATCGTGTCTCTTAGACGACACTCTTTTTGCGGTATCCTTCTTATTTAGTCATAATCTCGCTAGGTGTAGAGATGAAGCATATACGAGATTTTAACTGCAGTACACTTTGCATAAGAACGATATTTAGGATGCATGACTAAGTAAAATATGATTAAGTCTAATTATTAGGGCTCGAGAACACCTATAAGAGTCAATAAAAACGTTTGCAAATAACAACTTTACATCTTATGAGAACAAATGGACAGTGTATATTTGTATTATGAAGCTCTGACTTATCTAGACCACTCAAGGCATTCTCTTTTTAGTGGATATATTTATAATATTGGCATAAAGACTTTTATCTGTTACTGACACGATTTGTAATTTAGATTAAAGTATAAGATCTGTTGCCTTATTGGCTGTATTTTTGTGTAAATATACTACTACTTCATATTTCATTCATGTATTTTCAACTAAGATTATTTCGATTTAAACTTATTTAAGAAGTGGGTTGACCTAGTTTTCAAAATTTGGTCTTTTCAGGGCGACTTGGTTGGACGCATATTGTCCGAAGTCCTCTGCCAGAGGCGTTATCATAAGTCCCAGCCTCAGATCGTGGACTTGGTACATTCTCAGACGTTTTGCTAGCATTTTAGTCGGTATCATCAGTGAGTCTTGCCATTCTCAACAACAAATTTTTAGGTGATCTTGAAAGGAAAAACAGTATTATTCACAAGTTTTCCCACGCAGCACGAGAGGGTGGACAAATGGGATTGTTCGGGAGTTTAATGCATAGCAGGCGGCGCCTGCGAACAGAAATTTATTGGCGAATTAGGGAGAAAAATCAGCACACTAATCAAGGAACATCAAAGGCTCTGCCCGAAAATGAATACCAAAAGATCAGAATTAGCAGAACAGACACGGAATCAATTGGAAGGCAATAGAAAGAAGGGCATCATACGATGACAATTCAAGGAACCTGAAGATTAGATAGGCCATTGACATCCTTGGGGAAATAAATTTAATGAAAAAGAGATTGGAAGAAGGCAGAGTCAGCGATAACTTTGCATACTGCCTGAGCAAAATGGGGAAAAACAAGGATACAGCAATACTAGCAAAAAAAAGAGGCCCGGTCAAGAACCTATCGTTAATTAGCTGGAAAGGGATCGCGAGGAGGGGGGTGGGGACATTTAGTAAATCAAGCCAAGGCATTCTCAGTGAATGCAGTCCTCTCTAAAAGAAACACTACAATTTTGAAGTCCTGGTGGTCACGGAATTCGGGAGACGTGATAACCACAACCCTCACATAAATTCGGCATTATGACCAAAATGTAATAGAAATCCACTCGAGATGCAGCAGGCAACCAGAGATAAGCGTCCACAGATTGGTTAGGTTACATGGGTTCCCATAAATCTATCATGATAAAATTGTTATAGGGGCCATCATTTCGTATGAAAGTGCATGAAGAAGAGATTCGTAGGTTGATCTCATCAGAAGACGACAGCTAAATTCCATTGTACTGCAGCCATTTGGCTTTATTACGACGTTCAGTCGACACAGTCTACTAGAGATCCTCCCTCGTTTCGGGTCAAAACGGGCTGAGCTTTCGTTCATCTTATGATTGACATTATCAGAGCTGGAACTCGTTCCTATAAGTCTCACGTTACCTATAGATCAGGACGACTATTCGAATCTATTTTGTCTCATATATACTCAACTAAAAACGGAGATGAATAGTCATATATAAATATAGGATCGTTTGGTTAATCATCTATCATACTGGTCCTTCTACTGTTATTCAAGTCTGTGTGTGTTAACGTCTATATACCATAAATCAGAGTGATCAAAACAGCTAATGTCAGGCTCTGGTCTTCAAGGAATAATGACCCAAGAAAGAGTCCCGACCGAGACTGCGTACGTCCGTAAGCAAGTATGGTTGAGATAATGAGACATAAGCGTGTAAGCCATGTTATGAACCACCTATCTTAACCTCTCAAACTAGGGTCATTAGAGTTTTACATTACAAGGAAAGGCATGAGATGGAATTGCGTAATCTGGCAAGCCTGGTTTGGTTGAGGATCCTAATCCAACATGTTGGACGATTGTGAGTCAAATTAGATCCAACATTGAGCGGACAAGCTGATTTGCCTTCTTTTTTCGCCGACCACAGGAACTCACAATCTTGTCGCAGCCAGATTTCGATAATGGGTCATATTTCTCTCTAAAAGATGGCATAATCAAGAGAGTGTGAGGATTTCTCTGAACAATGTTTTTATCCCTCATATTCTCAGTAATTTGCATACCTTTTCTGAAAGAAGGCATGACGGCAAAATTAGGGTATAAAAAAAGATCTCTGCTTGTGTATCTTTTACTAAATTATCTGTCTGAAAATGTATACCTCAGTAATTAGATATTATTAACAATTACGCCCAAAGAATAGTTATTTTCCAGGAATATATTTGTCGGTCGTTTCGACTTATGTTTGGTTGATAGATTGAAGGAGAGAGGGT